ATTTTAATTAAGTTCTATAAAGTTGAAAATTGGAAATATTTACCTAAATTTTATTTGGTAATCAGCTTTACGTCAACAGAAATAATATTTAACTTATTTTCAGCTGTTGAAGTTTTGATTTGGAGTTGTAGCTAATTTTCATATTTATTTTTAATATACCTGAATTTGAGAGGTGTTTTATCAAAATATTTTAGAAATTACGCTTGGTGTTTATAACAAATTTAAAAAAGTTATTAAGAGATGGTACCCTGTGGCGTAGAGGTACAGCTCTCGTTTACCAAATCTAAAGGTTGTGGGTTCGAATCCTACAGTCGGCATTTCATCAGCCGACTATTTTTAATAAAATATAAATAGTTTGGGTACCTAGGTCGACTCAGCCTTAAATGAGTACTTGGGATTTACAATCCTGAGGTAATAATGGGCGGTTGAAGCGTAGTGTTAGCCACATTACCTTCCTTGTATACCGAATGGCAAGCTGTACCTTGCTACTCCCAAAGCGTTAAACGCTATATACGGGAGCTATTATATTATTTAAGAAAAATAGTATTTTGCTTTTATTAAATTTAATTATAAAATATTTCAGGCATGCATTTTAAATAATAATGTATATGAATATAAAGGTGGACGTTAATAGTTATTTATGATAATAAGTGCTAAAAGTGGTATGAAGAGTGGAAGGCGGAGTGTCCCATCCCTTCGAACAAAATAAAATCACTTTTAGCACACATATCATACACTATTTTTTCTACAAACAAGTTTATGCTCGTATATATCAAGGTATTATTACTTTTTACGTTAATGAATAATTCATAATATGTCATTCTGAAATCAAATTAATTATGAAGTTTATGGTTGCTAGGGTAATTGAAATCGCTTCAGTGTTAAAAGTAAATCACGTGACTTACTTTTAGCACTGGTGCTAAAAGTAAATTACTTTTACCATCAGTGACATAATGTCATAACATAATGTCACATTTTAGGCACTGACAGCATGCGTTAAAAATTACATTTTTACTGACGTTTGTAGAAAAACATTTTTTTGGTGCCTTCTTCCTTTTAACGAAAAACTACGGGGATTTTTTTTTTGGTTTTTAACAAAAAGAACGCATGCCGACGGCCAATTGAAGTTTGCTAATGAATTGGCTATTAAAGTGGCAATTTAGAGTCAATTTCAGTTGGCCGTCGGCTCTAGTGATTCCCACGAGACCAACGAGACGAGACTTTCATAAAGTCTTGTCTCGTCTCGCCGATAAAATAAGAAGTCTCGTATTGAGTCTCGTCTCGGAGCTTCCAATCTCGTTTCGTCTCGCGTCTCATACGAGAGTCTCGTGAAAGTATCGAAATTTCGTCATACATAATCCTTGTTCCAGTCCAGTACGGGATATGTATATTTATAGTTTGTACAAAACAACCTTGGGATCACGTGACATTTGTAAAGAAACCTGAACATTTTTGTAATTTATCTAATTTTTCTTGTTTATTTTTTATTAACTAATCGATATTTATTAGGCTACAACTAGCATTTAAACATTCAGGGTGTAAAAAAAAGATTGATCTCAAGTCACGTGTTCCCAAAGTTGTTTTGTATGAGCTATAGTTGCTACGTATAATATAAAAGTAGGATGAAAAAAATTACAAATGTTGAAAAATAAATCATATATTTCATAGTAATACGTAAACACAAAACAAAAACTTAACATTAATTTTGAAAAAAAATCATACATGTCATAGTAATACGTAACCACAAAAGAAAACCCAAAAACTTGACATAATTTTGAAAACAAGTAAAAACAATAATATAGGTACTAACAGCCTTCTCGGTCGCAAATGTTTTTGTTTTTCACCCAGTCATCTAGGCATAACAAACATCGTGCAGATTCACTATTAAGGCGATTTCTCTGTTTTCTAATGGTTAACGCAGCACGAGAGAATAACCTTTCCGCCGAGACTGAGGTAGCTGGTCAAGAGATCTCGTGCCATCAAACTTAAAATGGGAAGTTCAGAACCATGAGTTCTCCACCATTGTAATATATCTGTGTTTTTATCACACCGGGGAATTGAATAGTATTTTTGAAGCTCCTGTATCCATTCTCCTTCGGCAGGGATTGGATTTACTGCGTACAAGGCAATCAATTACAAAGTCCGACTTTTCAGGTCCAGGATTTTCTCGTCCTTGTTGTCCTTGTTGCGCCACCGCTGTTTCTGTCGAACGTTGTCCCTCTAATTGATGAAAATAGACTTTACAAATATTTTGAAATTTCTGAATCGAATTATCTTTTAATTCTTGGCCCCATTTTGTCATATCAAACGTTTCTAACTTATGACGTGGATCGAGACTTAAAACTGTAGCATAAATCGAGTTCGTTTTACGATAATGCTTTAGTATTTTATCTCTGGCAGCCTGAAAACCAACAATAAGCTGCTCTTCGACAGGGATTCGATTTGTTTTTCTGTCCCATTTAAATATTTTGCTCTCAAGATTATCTATTAGTATATATTGATATATACAACCACCATAGGTAAGGTGACGTACTTCTCTCCTCCGAGTTTTTTGGAAAGTATTTGAAAGTTGATTAATAATTTGTGCACTTCTTCTAGCAGTATCCATTCTTTATCTCTAAGAGCATATGGTTTTAAATCAACAACATTTTGACATAATACACCGAGTCCATGTCTGCCTTTAAGAGCTACTTGCAACATAATATCATCACTGGAATTCCAGCGTGTAGGTACATTCAACACAGGTGTCAGTTGCCGAGAATTACCAGTTGCTTCACGCGCTCTTCAGAACTTAAGTAAAAGTTGGTTTTTAAGTCAAGGTTTTTCAAGTGTTCATCTGCGAGACTCTTGTACGAGACACGAGAAGTCTCGCACGAGACTCGAGGCGAGACCTATAAAAGTCTCGTCTCGTATTGTCCGAGTATCGTCTCGAGTCTCGTCTCGAAAACGAGACGAGGCCATACGAGATTCTCGAAAACGAGACTTTCGTTGGAATCACTAGTCGGCACGTGTTCTTTTTGTTTAAAACCGAAAAAAAAAAATTACCGGTAGTTTTTCAACAAAAGGAAAGATTTTTTAGGCGCCGGAAAAAATATTTTTAACGACCACCCTAATGTACCTGTATATTTTTATTTATTCTTTATTTTCATTAATATGAGAATTTTAATAAATGTTTTAAAAGCCAGTCATAATGTGGGAAATATTTTAATAAGACGGGGGAATATTTTTGGTAAAAATATCTTTGTGTCTGCCTGCCCTTGCTTTGTTGTTTTCCTTTTGGTTGTTATTTTTGGTTTCGTTTCGAGATACAATTTTTTTTTGTATACGTTTCAAAGACCTATCTTTTGAGATGTCTGTAAACAATATTCTGGTGTTTTTATACTAAATTTGATACTAAAACAATATCATAATTGGTTAAATATTTCAATTTTTAGAAATATTTTTATAACAATATAGGTATAAATTATCTGGGAAATTTAGGGAATTTTTATGAAGCAAGTTGCATAAAATCCTGAATTGTTATACTAAATATGACAGGGAAACCAACTTTACAGTTGCGTAAATTCTGGAATTTTTGAGAAAGTTTCTCTAAAAGACGCAAAACGATTTTACATTAGGTTAGAAAGTGGAAAAATGTTTTAGTCTTATTCGACAGGGTAAAACTTCGAACGATTTTGAACAAAAGTTTCTTTTATTATGTGTGTATAAAAAGATTTTCTTTATTCTCCATGGAGTGTTATTCACGCTATTCGCTGCGGAACATTCTAGCTAAATGGTTATATTTTTATAAATAGTAAATATTGGAGTTATTACAAGACTACTAGGGCTACAATTACTAGTACTAGGGCTACTAATTACTAGGGCTACAGTTGTACTAATCACAGTCATTAGTTTGATATACCGGTTGCGTCTCAAAAGTGCCTCACCTCTATAACTTGTTTATTTTTTCAGAAAAAAAAAATGAGATTTGGCGTGTTAGTATATGGCATAAATTAGGATTGATTGACGTATTTAATTGGTTTTGGTCACTTCCTGTTTCACCGGAAATTACTAGAACTTTTGATATTTAAATGGCACCCTTGGTATTTTTTTACTTTATTCGATAGAAAATGACATTCTGAATAGAATGATATATCATAATAATATGTCAACTTTTGACATTCTCGCTTATTAAAAAATCGTATTTTAAAATTCAATCTAGAGTGCCATGGCTATGTTAAAAACACTAATTCTTAATCAAGGAGTCTTGGAAAAATAGATTTGATCTACTAATCTTTTTAGTCTATTGTCCTGGTCAGTTAGAAAATGCTCAAATCGTATTTTTAATCATATTTCTATTTTCTCAAATGGAACGAGGAATGGAACTCTTTAGCATATTTGGAAAAAGCATTTTTTTACGAATAATTTGATACCACACATTTGGTATTTCGAGTCAAATTTTCGTTACGAACTGCAAATTATAATTTCAAATAAACCATATGTGAAAATGTCAAAAGTTGACATATGATATGTCATTCTATTCAGAGTGTCATTTACTGTCGAATAAAGTAAAAACATATCGAGGGTGCCATTTAAAAATCAAAAGTTGTCGTCATTTCCGGTAAAACAGGAAGTGACCGAAAACAATTGAATACGTCAATCAATCCTAATTTATATCATATACTAGCATACCAAATCTCGTTGTTTTAACTGAAAAAATAAAAAAAGTTATAGGGGTGAGCCACTTTTGAGACGCACCCGGTATGCTAGTGTGATGACAAACAAATGTTGGAAAGACACCAAACCGTTTTTCCAAATTTTCGTAGGGGATAAAATAATCCTCATTATAATTTATCCACACAAAAAGTTGCAAAAGTGCTTTAATACTTCAATTCATATGCATGCATCTAATAGACCCAAAGAATATATGGAATTGAATAAATTAATTATCCAGCCATACTAATGAATCTATCTCATCTCAAACCTCTACTATTCCTCCCCCACTTAATAACTGAACCTACCTGGAAAGTTGGGGGTGGCTAGGGTGCCTCTGGCGGCGGTGAAAGTGCCCCCGCAATCTCTTCGGCCCCCTGCGGCTTCCACCCCGCTGAGAACAACCAGCAGGAGCGACGCCGAAGCTAGATAAAGCCGCTGCCACATCTTCGCATAGAGATTATCTCTCAGAAGTTGTCCATGTCGGATCTGAAACAATTTAAATCGCTGTTAGTACGTTTGTTTTTCGGTATAAAAGGAATAAGAATTGAGCGTGGCTTTTAAAATGACTTTCTAAATATATTGAACTTGAGAATTATTGAAAGAACGATATTTTTAATAAACTGGCTAAATTACCGCCGATGTTTTTAAATTTTCGATAGCAGCGCTCGGTACGGCAGAAATCAGAAGAGTTCGGCTCTGTATTTCACGCAGTTTCGGTTACCTTTTGTGTTGTTCGCATTGAAATAATATTAAAATCGTGGCTTTGACATATACAGTATGGCCCCGGATTGCCTTTACAAGTGGAAACACTTTTTTATGATTGACAATTTGAGCAAAATGCATTCTTAATAAAAATGTTTGCTTGTTCTAAACTAGTTATACTTTTCCAAATTTCCATACCGTTTTAGAGGAAACAAAGAAAAACATGAAAATATAATTGAATTTCTAAAAATCAAAACGCGTTTCTATTGTAATATAATTTCGTTTTCATTCTTTGATAGATTGTTATTTATAGAATTTTAATTAACGTAATATTTTTTGTTGTTTTAAAATGCTAAACAAACTCAAAATTTATTTACTTGAATGCTACGGAAAGGGCGATGATAGTTATCGGAAAATGTGATACTTTATCAACAGCAAAGATCAGCAACAATCTATCAAATAATGAAAAGGAAGTTATATTACCATAGAAACGCGTTTGGATTTTAGGACAAAAAATTCAACCATATTTTCATGTTTTTCTTTATTTTCTCTAAAATTTGGAAAAGTATAAACGAGACTGTTCACAACACGAGAAGGAGATCATAAATTGCGTGGTTGCTGGGTGCAATAACACTCAATGCAACTCTTCCGGAACAACATTTTACAAATTCTCAGCTTTATCATACGTATTTGATCAAAAGCAAAAATAGATTCAGGCAGTTCAGCAGAAAAAATCAGTAAACAAAGTGCCCATTACATAATCAAAAACTTAAATAAGCATAATAACATATGCTATGAGGATAACATATAATTAAAATTAATAGTATACTCATTTTTAATTAATTAGTGCTTACATTTTTTATGGACGTGTTCTAAAATTATATTATGTACCTTTAAAAAAAATCGTCACTGTTTAGATAGCCCTTGTTATGTCTCAACTACCAAAACCGGTGCATAAAAGTATGATCTCTACCGTTGGTTAATCAATTTTATTAGCTTGAGTAATAAATTATAATACACGTTAGCTAAAATTGCACTTACTAATACTTTTCAAATAAAATTATAGAAGGCAAGACGTCACAAGAGGTTTTATTCTCAATAGTCGATCGACGAAGTCACAACTCAAATCAACACAAAGCTACAGAATTCTCTGAAAACACAACACACTCAAAAGGTCTGTTTCCAGAAGAATCCCTGACTAGTCAGCACGTTTCTCATTGGTTCAAATGCGTAACATTTCAACCAATAAGAAACGCGCTGACTAGTTAGGGATTCTTCTGGGAACAGACCTAAAGATGACCCGTCAATAACTGACTCGCCGGCCGGCTAGCCGGTCCTGTTACATAACAATAGTTTTACCTAATCGTAAATATTTATATTGCTTGCCAATGAATCATACTATTGTCTCTAATCGGCTTTAGGCCCCCATTAACTGGGCGATTTTGTAGCAATCAAGTTGAGCGATAAAATTGCTTCTAAATTTCTTTTGTTTACATTTTTCACTTGCCGTTCAATCTGGATGAATCAACGGTTCGTTGAACGCTTCTTTCAACAAAAGTAGGAAAACCGTCAACTTGTTTCATCGTTCAATTTTAGTGTACACTTTGGATGAAACAGTGTTGAAAGGCAATTTATACTTATCACTTTGGATGATTCATCCAAGTTGTACATCCAAAGTGACAAATGTAAATGAGCCTTTAGCGTTACTAGATAAATAAGTAGGGTGTTTTCAAAGGAATGTATATTTATTATATTATAATAGTAAGTAATAAAAGTATTATTATAACAAACTTATTTTCCATGTTTTACATATACCGTGGTGGTGCATCGTCATTGGAAATATAAAATTTCATGCAAATTTTGAACTGTTCAATTATTGGCTTCCCTATGGATTTTATAGCGAAGTCGTATATAGATTTTTTAACGGTCTACGTTTGATAAACACGCGTGCCAAATTTGAAAACTTTCGGACAAGCCGATTTTGAGTTATTTGAGAAAAACTGCATCTATTGCTGGAAGTACATCACACTCGCCGAGGCGACACGAGACGTGGTAAAGTTTGTGGAGTCTCGGGTCGCCTCGCCGAGTGTGTACTTGCACCATATTTTTAAATTACAACTGAACAATCAAACACCACACAAAAACCGACGTACTTTAAGTTGCACTCCCCACTCCTGCATAGCATCAGCTTTGTTCGGGTTCTTGTTAATACCGATTCTGAACCGTCCTAGAACTCAGCAGCGCATGCGCAAATGAAATAAAGTCTTCATATTTCCTTCTGCGCATACGCATCACAGTTCTAGGACGGTTCAGAATCGGTAATAAGAGAAACCCGAAGTAAGCTATCGATCGCGCTAGCCGATCCGTACGTAAACCAGTCTTTTATTTAGTTCCTCTAGGTTCGGATCCGATAACATACGGCTGGCATTCCCTACTCCCGCCTAGCATCGGGCTAGCGCGCTGGCTTGTCCGGCGCCGTCGCGTATTATACAGTGTGTCAATTTTAAAACATCCCACCCTTAATATCTTTCTTGCAGTTAAAAATATGAAAAATCGGAAAGACACGTCAATTTTATTTGTAACGGGGACACTTTAAATTAATATTTTTAGCCTTTTTCTTTTAACGCCCTAGGAGGGGTAGATGTCACCCTAACAATTTTAAATGGTAATGGGGGTCAAGTGGCACATCGTTTTAAAGGACGTTTAATTCTCTTTTCAGTGGTATCCTACTTTGTTGCTTTTTGCTAAGATGTTTCCGAATAATCGCGTTTCAAACTTTCTGAAACAATTAAACATGCCTGCAATGAGATTATGGTTTTCAGGCTAGTGTTTATAAAAAATATTGCAATGGATCTTCTTGTAGTACAAATAATGAGGAGATTAGGTGGAAACATGAACGTAGCAATTATATTTTTCTAGGGGGGTCGAAATACTAATAAACAGGAAACATCATAAACATTAACGTTTCTTTTCTTAAATTCGAATGAGTGGCAACCTCTAATCAGTTATACAAAAGGATTTGTTAGCATTTCAGCAGGACGGTGGCTCCACCTCATTATTTTCTTCCGATCCGACAGTGGTTAAACGAGAGATTTCCGGGTACATAGATAGGCAGAAGGGGACCAATTGAATGGCTTCGAAGATTACCGGATTTAACACCCTTAGATTTCTTTCTTTGGGGACATCTTAAATCCATTGTTTATAGAACACAGCCTACTGGTATTGATGATCTTAAAAGGCGAATTACAGCATAATGCCGGTCAATTCCCGGTGAAGTTTTTCGAAATGTTAGGGAGGAGTTGTGAAAACACACTTTATTATTGTTAACAGGAAAATGGACAACATTCTGAACAACTTGTAAGATAGGATGTAAGTGGTGTAATGTGATCTTATAGTATTTTGTACTATAAGGAGATCCATTGCAATAATTTTTGTGTAAAAACTAGACTGAAAACCAAAATCTCAATGCAGGCATGTTTAATTGATTCTGCAACTTTGAAGCGTGATTATTCGGAAACCACTCGACAAAAAGCAACAAAGTAGGATACCATTGAAAAGATAATTAAACACCCTTTAAAACGATGTGCCACTTGACCCCCATTCCCATTTAAGATTGTAAGGGTGACATCTCCCCTTCCTAGGAGGTTAAAAGAAAAAGGCTAAAAATATTAATTTAAAGTGTCCCCCTTACAAATAAAATTGACGTGCCTTTCCGATTTTTCATATTTTTAACTGCAAGAAAGATATTAAGGGTGGGAAGTTTTAAAATTGACACACTGTATATCGGTTACAGTCTCGATCCCGGAATAGGTCCTGAGGAGTTAGTTCTTTGAGAAACCAGGAACTAGTTCCTTTCATTCGGAGTGGGAATAGTTCATTGGAACGGAACTAGTTCGTTCACGAATTACACACCTCTACCCTGTCCCCTCTACAACAGGGGTATATTATGGGTTATAGACTGTGTGATTACCCAAGGAAGGGTAAAGGATCTTTAAGGTCGCAATGATTAACTCCCCCTCTCACTCATTCTACATTCTACATTCTACTGAAGGAATCATAAAATTAATTATTTTTTTCACGTGCACATATTGAGGTGCCGCTCCTGCATATTCTGCCAAATTAAATATTAAAAGTTAGCTTTAATCTTGTTCCGGTTTTGTGTGATTTTTCGATTTGTACGCTCAATTTGATCAAATAGAAAAATAAACGTAAATTTATAAATGAATATTTGTTAAATTGTTTCGGATTAAAATTTGTCGTCGGCTATTGTATTTCGCGAGTGCAAATAGGGCCGGACCGGTCGAGCTTTGACGGGATTTATTGTAACCGGAACACAACAACACAAATCGTAAATTGTTTTAAAATTCAATTAAATCCTGTTTTCGGCAACAAATAAAATTCCAGTCTGTGTCCGGTTGGTAGGCAAAACATTATTTATGGAAATATGTTTTTTTTTAATTTAGGATTATAATTTATATAGGGTGGCGCTTCTACTACGACGCGACACGGAGGCTGCAAGGAGAACGACAGTCTCTATTGAAATGACATTTACTGAGCATACCGGGTGTTGTTCAAAAGTGTATCACCCCTAGAAATTTTTAATTTCTTCAAATAAAAAACGATATATGGTATGTCAGTAGTAGTGGTATGTTAGTAATATGATATAAATCAGAATTGATTGACGTATTCAGTTAGTTTCGGTCGCTTCCTGTTTCACCGGAAGCGACTACAACTTTTGATTTTTAAATTGTACTCTAGGTATTTTTT